GGGCGCGCAGCTCCGGACAACTTATAATAGTTCTTAATAACGACAAAAGCAGCAAACACTTACTACTTGTAATCCAGATACTGTTTTAAATGCTTTATATATAGCAAGGTTTTTTTTTGTTTTTTTGTTTTTTTAGACAGGGTCTGGCTTTGTCGCCCAGGATGGAGTGCAGTGGCACCATCTTAGCTCACTGCAACCTCCACCTCCCAGACTCAAGCCATCTTCCCACCTCAGCCTCCAAAGTAGCTGGGACTATAGGTATGCACCACCATGCCTGGCTAATTTTTTAAAAATTTTTTGTAGAGACAGGGTTTCGCCATGTTGCCCAGGCTGGTCTCAATCTCCTGGTCTTCTACCTTGGCCTCCCACAGTGCCGGGATTACGGGTGTGAGCCACCACACCTGGCCTAGCAACTTATTTTTAGTAACTTATTTAGAGATAAAATAAAACAAGACCACAGAAAAAGTTTGTAAACAAAGGAATGGGCAAAGACAGTCTAGCAGGAAAGCAAAAAGGAAAGTTGAAATTACAATAGTAATATCACCTAAAAAATAATACAAGGAAAAAATTTAAACATAGCACAGATGTTTGACACTGGTAAAAGATACAGTCCACTTAGAAAGTGAAATACCCAGGCCGGGTGTGATGGCTCACACCTGTAGTCCCAGCACCTTGGGAAGCTGAGGCGGGTGGATCACTTGAGGTCAGGAGTTCGAGACCAGCCTGGCCAACATAGTGAAACCCCCATCGCTACTAAAATTACAAAAATTAGCTGGGTGTGGTGGTGCATGTCTGTAGTCGCATCTACTCAGGAGGCTGAGGCAGGAGAATCACTGGAACCCAGGAGACGGAGGTTGCAGTGAGCTGAGATCACACCACTGCACTCCAGCCTGGGTGACGGAGCGAGACTCCATCTCAAAGAAAAAGACAGTGAAATACCCACCTAATACATTGCAGCAAAGAACAAATATCAAAGCTTGGGCGTCAGAGGGCCAGGACCTTGGGGAGGCCAGGCTGTTTGGGAGTAGAGGGTGTGTGTGGCTCCTGCAGCTCTCACATTCTCAGGAGCCAAAGATGAGCACCTGCGGCCGGCAGGGAGCCAGTGGGCTTCTCCTCTTCCAGCGCCTGTGCATGTCTCCATCTCTGTGACAAAGCACAATGGTGGGCACTGTGCCCGCTGACAGGCACCAGAAAGCCAATGTGAGCTCCCTGGAGAACCGCCAAGGAGAACATGCGCTAAGGAAGCTCAAGGGCCGCGTGTGGGCTGCCGGGGGAGGTGGATGGGGAACCGTCAGAAAGGGAGGAATTCACTCCTTGCGAGGCTGGCATGACTTTCATTCTGTCTCCTCTGGTAGCCCACACCAGGCGTGAGAACAGCCTTTGCCCTGGGGATGAGGGTTCTCCCACCAGCCCTCCAGAATTCCCTCAGACGACCTCATGGCGAGGCTATGCAATGGGGCGTGTTCTCCACTGTCCGAGTGATGGCTCCATACTGGCCTGCCTAGCCCCTGGCCTTTTCCTACCCCACGCGTGCTAATTACCCCCCTCCACGTGGTGGCCGCTGCCTTCACACCAGCTGCAGCAGGGAGGCCTGGCTGGGGCCACACACTTCCGAGCGGGGCGGGCGCTCCCCGGGTGCCGCTGTAGCCACCCAGACTGTGACTGCAGACCCAGGCCGCCTGCTCTGCAGATCAGGCAGGATCCCCACCCTCCTGTGTGGGCTACAGCCGCCCAAACTGCAGCTGTGGTCCGAGCCTCCCTGAGCTCTTGGGTGGGAGCCGAGGACAGGCGGGATCTGCCCTTCCGCGTGCAGCTGCAGCCGCCCGACCCACAGCTGCAGACCTCGGCCTCCTGCTCCACGGAGGAGGCAGGAGCCAGGACAAGCAGGAGCCCTGCCCTTCCAAACTGACGGGACAGGAGCTCCCCGGGTGCGGCTTCGGCCACGCTCCCAGGAGCAGGACCCGGCATCTGTGCAGCCTGCACCTCCGGGGCCTGGGAAGAACCGAGCCCCCTAACCCCCATCCCTGCAGGCTCAGGGGTTCTGGTCCTCACTGCCTGGCCTCTCTCTGCTCCCAATCTCGGAGCGGGGTTGGGGCCTAGCCGGGGACCATGAAAGGCAGTGGTAGGCAGACAGAGTCCCTGGAGGGAGAAGGCAGGTCCCCAGTAAGGCCAGGGAGGGTCTGAAGGTCAGGTCGACAGTCCCTGGGACCGGAGTGGGGCCTTGTGATGTCTCCCTCTGGCTGCCCATGGACCAGTCCGCATGCACTTCCTCCCCTCAGAGGTGCATAAAAGCGCCAGGCTCAGCCAGAGCAGGGCAGAGGATGGAGAAACAACAGGATGACCAGCTGCAGAGAGAAACTACCTTCTCTGCTGAGAGCTTCAGAGACCTGCAGAGGCATTCCGGACAACCTGCCTGTGGAGAGGAGCCGCTGTCTCCAGGGCCTTCTGTCTGCTGACAGCAGCAGGTGGCAGGAGGACCAGCGGGCAGAGAGGAGCTGCCCTCTCCAGGGCCTTCTCTGCTGAGAGCTGAACACTCAGTGGGACGGGAGGGCTTACCTACAGAGAGGAGCTCGCTGCAGGCCACCTCTGAGCTGTTCCAACATTCAGTAAAGCTCCTCTGCATCTTCTTCACCCTTACTTCTCCGTGTACCTCATGACCGCATTCTTCCTGGAGGCGGGACAAGAACTCAGGTGCCACAGAGGTTTCCAGGAAGAAAATTGACACCCCAAAGATCGCACACAAGGACAGATGAGGGTCCGTTCTTTCCAGTGGCACCTGTAGCCTGCCAGGGGTTCAGCACTTACCTTCCTTTTGGATCTGAGCCTTTATGCATTTACTGGGTCTTGGAATGGGAGGTGCGGCTGGCAGGGCGCAGCTGCTGGCTACAAGTTTCCTGCTGCATGAGGCACCTGATACGCCGGCGGTGGTGGCAGGTGGTGTCCCCCTCCCGCATCCCACCAGGGCTGTGTCTGGGAGTCACAGAAGTGGACTCTGCCCATTTCTCTCTCTCTTTGCATTTCTGCTGTGACAATCTCACCTTTCCCCAGGCAGCATGGAGGAACCTAACCTAAGGGCAATGAAAAGCTTAGGCCATGTTCTCATTTTTGGGCAGCCCCTCTCTACAAGTGCAATTTCCCTTCTCTTTCACTCCCCTGTGTGGCATGCAAGGGCCTCTGCAACGTGGTCCCATCCATTTCTGTTCAGCCTTCCCTTCCACTAGTGAGCCACACACTGGCCTGGCCAGCCCGGAGCCTTTTCCTACCTCCCACGTGCTAATCACCTCCCTCCGCGAAGAATGTCTGTCCTCCCGGGCTGCCCCATTGCTTCCCTGATCCTACTGTTTATGCAGCATCCATTTTCAGTATACCTTGTCCCTGAGCCCTCCTCTGTCTCCCCAGGCCTGGGGAACTGCACCCACTGTTTGAGCTCACTGTTCAGCCCCTTTGCTGTCCTAGGGACATCTTTCCACATTAATAAGCCTGGGTGCCCAGTCTCGCCAGCCTGTCGGAGCACAGACAGTCACCTCCAGGTCCATGCCTATAGCTCGCTGGCTCCTGTCTCCCTCCCATATAGAGCCCTGCCACCTGCACAGGCCCCTCTCCAAACACAGGCCCTTCTGGGAGTCCCTGCGGTGTCCTGCTGAGGCAGAAAAATTAAAAATACATATGCATTCATTTACTCCAAGAAAAGTAACAGGCAAGGCAAAGGTTAAAAAGAAAACAAGTTTTCCTCTGCCTAGCAAGCTCACTTCAAGGACAGACAAGATAACGCTGTCCAGAAAACCAAGGCCAAAGGAATGGGCTCCAGACACCTCCCGCCCCACTTCCAGAGCAAGGTTAAAGGAAAAAGAAAGAAAGGCAAATTCGTTTACTGTTACTCTTTCCTCAGGCTTCTTCAGCGTGATCGTGTTTTACGAATCTCTGTATTTAGTCAGTTCTTGTTTTTCTTTCAATGCAGCTACAAGGCCACCGGCTATGCAAGGCCATAAGTTATGCTGTGCTATAGATTATGTGACCTATCATATGATTAACTGCTTTTGTTTTGTTTATCGTAAGTCCACTTACAAACACCCCACCCTGTCTTTGTTTAGGGCTCAGCTTTTTAGACGTGAGTCCACTGAGCCGGTGTGTATCTAAAATAAACAATCCTCCTGATTTTCATATCCGTCTCTCCGGTCCTCAGTTTACCACAATACTGCATGTGTTTGAGCTGCTCATGCCTCAGCTCTGGCCTGTTCCCTGGAGGGGATGTCAGTGTGGGCTGCAGCTGGGTGGCTAGTGCCTCAGTCCACTTATGCCCAAGTCGCACCGTGGCCTACAGTAAGATGGGGTGGGCTGGGGTGGGGTAGTGCTTGCTGCTTCTTTCTTGAGCTCTGCTCCACTAGAGAAATCCCAGTCCAGCACCCCCTGCATTTCCAAGCTGCACGCGAACAGGTTTTGCAGGCTGCACTAACAGCAATGCCCCCAGGAGTTACTCCTTACTGACCTTGCCCTGAGGAGAAGGTTATGGTGGGTTAAAAACTGGGCGTCAGCCCCTTCCTCATGCTTAGTTAGTGGAGATTGCAGTCGACTCTCTTTCACGTTCGGAGACTGCCCCCCTGCCTCCCAGGAGTCCCAGCTTCACCGGCACAAAGACCCTGCACCCAGCTGGAGCCTTTTCTCCCCACTTTGAGCCTCTGCAGCTGTCACTCTCTACAAAGCTCTCAGATACCTTTCCCCTCCTTCTGTGACCCTGGAGAGATATTTTACATGAGAATTCAAGATTTTTCTCAGAGACAGGATGTGACAACTTCCTTGTTTTGTTCTATCCACCTTGGTTTTCATAGCAAAGGGCAGAGAAAACAGCATATATCTCTGGGAGGAAGATGGATAAATAATTCTCACACATGTCCTGGCCTCTGGAGCTCAGCTGCCAGTCCACGTCTACGGAATCTTAGCATCTAGGACCAAGACACTTCCCAGCGATCATCACCCTTTGCAGAGGAGGTGAGATCACCGGGACTCATCTGCCATTGCAGACCTTTTGCTGCTACCTGACAGGTAAGTGGCTCATTCTCAACAGCTGCCTACACCTCCACTTTTCAGAAACGGCAATCAGAAAATGAAGGTGGGAGGCTTTGGGAGGGCGTACAATTAGTGGCAGCATTTTATTATCCGAGCTTGGCTGCAGCGTGGGATGTTCCAAGTATGGCCAAGAGGAGATGTCGACGCCCGTTTAGGTAGGCCCCATCTCAGGAGGCAGGATCCTGATACATCCCATTGCCCCTCACCAGATGAAAAGGATTTCAAGCCTCATGGCAGTTCCCTTCTTGGGGCAGTCCATCTTCCGTAGAGACTAAGACGGTGGAAATCCTCTTGTGGACCTGTTGAAATCGAACCAGTGCAGGCAGTGGGCACTGGCTGGGGTCTGCCGGGGGCAAGGGCATTGCAGGGGTGCCAGGGAGGCCAGTGGGAGAGGACCAAGGCCCCACTGACACCTGGGGACTTGCGGCTGGGGGAGTGGAGGATAGGAGACAGGCAAAATTCACCAGTTCCACAGCTTACAGAAGTAGCAAAGCAAAGACCATACTTTCAGGGATAATTTCTATACTTTATTACTAGAGAAGTTTTCCGCTCTGGGACCCCATAGTCTCCTCACACACACGCAGGGCAAAAAAAAGCCTCCTGTGTTTGGGAGAGCAAGTGACATGACATTTATTAATAAAAATGGATTTTCCTGCCGGGTTTCCTAATGTGGTCGTGTAAGTGTTAAACATAGTCTTAAAATTATGTCAGGGAAAGCCGCAAGGTTTTGCTCCGCCCCATGGAGACCCTGGGACCGCTCAGGGCAACACCAACAGCAGCACCGCAGGCGAGGCAGTCCTGTGGGAGGACGTGGCCTTTGGACACTGCCAGGTTCGGAGATGTCCTTGGGAGATTTACCTTTTTGTCAGGAAGACAGTGTTAAGTTCAGGGAAATAATTATATGTGTGGACAGAATCTGAAATATACCAGTATAGTAAGAGTGAGAGATTGTGAATGTGTAATGCAAACGGAAAAGCAGGTTTTATTTTGTTAAGTTATTCACTAGGGAATCAGCTGAGGTTCCTTCTAATGCTCTTTTTCTCCAATCTTGCTGTGCTGAAAGTTGCAGAAAAGGACGTGTGTAGAGAAAAATGGGACACTTCAGGGTGGATCAGAGAACATCAATCCATAGTGATAAGCGTGAGTTTGTCAGGTGGAAGCAGTGATTTTTAAGAGTCACTGATTAAAAACAAACATTCCTAAGTGTATTAGGGAGATGCCGTTTATTTGTGAATCAAAAAGCTTTTTTCTCAGTCTCTTAAATTATGGTTTTCATGTAATAAGAATGATTTATATTTTTAGTGAAAAGTTGTTTTCCTTTCAAACACAGACCTTTTAAAAAGACTTAGCTTGAGTAAGTACCTTTCATTCGATGCTTTTCTTGTGCCTCATCTTAGGAAATCTGGAACAGTATTCGACAGAAATTATGTTTTCAACTTGCCTTTGACATCTGTCCCACTGCATTTTGCTTTAAAATTCTTCATTTAACAATAAATTATCTAAAAAAAATAACAGTAGCAAAGCAAAAACTACTCATCTTTAAAGACAGACTCAAGACTGAGGGACCAGAAATCAAAATAACATCAGGGTTGTTTAGGAATTGCAGGTGCAGGAGAAGAGAACAGGAATGGAGTGGGCTGGGGGCAGTGAGAGAGCAAGAAGAAAAAAATAAAAAGAGAAGGAGAAGAAAGAAATGGGCTTTTGCTGGGTGCAGGCGGTGACATTTCCCAGGACACTTATTTCTCCCTGTGCCTTCCAGAGGGAGCAGCCCGAGGCTCCTGGGAGGACGAGGAGCAGGTGCGCACCAGCAGAGCTCAGCTGCAGCTGGAGGATCCCTTGGCGGTCCTCGCGCACACCGGGTTTCAATCTTCCCCAAATATCCGATGCGTCCAGTCGCTTACTCCTTCCCCAGGCAAAACCTCACCAGGAACAGAACCTGAAATCAATTTACACTGTAATCAAAATAGCAGAGAGTGGAAAGTGTTTTCTTCAAGGAGGGGACTTGAACTTCAAGTACGGATTGAGCACCCTCGATCCTTAACTGGAGAGTGAGGTCAGAAAGGGCGGACTCGCGGCAGCAAACGGGGAGGAGCGTGCTGTTCAGTAGTCGCTGATTTTTTCCTTCAGGAACGTGCCAGACCATCTGTCTCTGACTAAAGGCTTTCAAGATGATACCCTTGAGTGTTGGGAGCAAAGGGACCAGGTACATATCCCTCCTGGCTGAGAAGATGCTCTTGACAAAGTCTTAGGGAGACCCTAGTTTTAAGTTGTTTTATCTGGCAGTGAGATTTTAAAGTTTTTATTCATTAGTTGGTTGGTTGGTTGGTTGGTTGGTTGGCTGGTTTTGTGGCTGGCACCCTGTGAGCCGGTTGCTTCTTCAGTGCCTCTGTGTGATGGCAGGTTAGGGTGAGTGTTTGGTCTGTGGCCAGCTGGTTCCTCAGACGGTCATGGTTTTGGGTAACAGGAGTGACTGAAGGGTGTACCCAGACACACGACACAGCTGGTGAGGAATCTGAATTCGAGAAGCGCAGAGCGAGGCTCTGGAACCGGACAGTGGGGGTGGAACCCCCTCCACCTCTCACCCATTGTGGGCCAGAGCAAGTCACTCAGCTCCCAGGCCTCCGTTTCCTCAGCTATAATTTGGACCTATTAGTAATAATAATAATACAAATACTAATAATACTTGAGGTATAGATAAGTGCCTGATAGGAAGTACCCATTGCATGTTTGTTTTTATTACTGTGAGCACGTGTGTGTGTGTGTGTCTACAATCCTCCTTCTCTGAGGCATCCATGATGGAAATCACACCGGTGTATCACAACAGAGAACGGAGGTCCCTCTAGCACTTTCACGGTTCTGGAACATCCTGCCCCAATCCCCTGTCCCCGGGAGGTGGCAGCCTGCCCCCAGCCCAGGGAAATTGGAACCAGTGTTCCTTCTGCGAGGAGGCCAGCTGTGGGACCTGTCTCGCGCCCCATTATCACCTTATGAGGGGACCTGTGTCACAACCTAACACAACCTCAACTAATTCCCCAGAACCCAGCCCACCCAGATAGATGCACAAACACACTCTGAGCCCCGCTTGGTTTTGGAAGGCACTAGCTGGACACTGACATGCCCCTCCTGGCTTTGCTGTCATGGGGCTCTAACCTGTGTCTAGAATCCAGAAGAAAAGACTGAAGCATAAAGGAAAAGAGAAGGGAACAGAAGAAAGGGTAAGAAGGTGCACAACCAGTGTAGACCCCTTTGCTAGAACCCTTCCTTGCAGCTTCCCCACCTCTCACAGAGAGGCTTCCACCAGTAGCCGCAGAGGGTGAGACTCCGGACTGTCCAGCCAGAACCTGGACCCTGCCCAAGGCCTCTCCCATGTCATTGTGTGAATCGGATTCCAATAACTGAGAGCTGTCAACACGGCCCTGATCCAGGGGACCTCCTGTCCTTGAGACCTTCTTGAAACACACCTGGAGCTGTCCCAACCTGTCCTCTGTTTGTCCCCTCAATTTCAGCTCTAGGAGACAGGGCCATCAGCCCATGAGCCTCACGGGCCACCCCTCTTCCCTTGTATTCCTGCCTACCCGGGTCCCTCCCAGCCTAAGGGTCCCTGGGAAGCCTCTACCACCTCATTAACTCACCCTGCACACCCCTCTGATCCTTCGGCCACTGCACGGCCAGCAGCTTTGAGAGTCCATCCTTCACACCTGCTGGTGGCGTTGCTGACAGCATGCCCCGTGTCCTGCAGCCACAGGACACCAGAAACACCTGCCATGCCAAGGTCTCAGAAGAAAAGCTAAGCTGTGGGGGCAGATGGGGAGACAGAGGGGGCTGGACAGAGGAGCCCACCGCGGCCTTCCCCAACAAGGGTACTGTGATGCCATGAAAGACAAGGGGTGCAGTCCCAGAATGAAGACAGTGTGTGGACATTTGCAAGGCAGAGGGGAAGGGGGCGCTGACTTTGATTTCAAGAGCTCCCAGCAACCCGTGGGAGTGGGCACGGGTCTCTTCCATGGTTCAGGCAGAGATTTAGGTCCAGCCAATTATAAAATCTGCCTAAAATCTTGCACAACTAAATGCAAGAGAAATATGGAGAGTTTTGTGTATCTCCAGACTCACTGGCTGCAACACACTCGCTGGTCTTGAGTCATTAGTGGCGCCCAAGGGAGCAGAGCATCAGGAATGGGGGGCAGCCCTTGTCTGGGCTGGGTCTGGGCCTCCTGGGTCACAGATGAGGAAGGGGTGGCTAGATGGGTTGACTCCATCACTGTGGCCCCGAAGATGCTCTCGACAGAGACTGTTACCAGCTGGCCTCCTGAAGGCACAACTCAAGGTCCCAGGCCTGGAGGAAAGTGTCCCAGGATGTCGTTGGGGCTGGCAGGCAGCCACCCGCATGCACTCCACTTCCAAGAAAGCAGAACTCTGTGTTTGTTCCTGTGTTTTGTGGACCCAATGTTCCAGACCAAAGGGAAGTGGGACGAAGGTTGGGTTGGTGGCGGTGAGGCAGGGAGAATGAAAATGCATCTGAGATCTTCAGAGACTGCCCTTTGTTCGAGCAAAGTCACTAAGCCCAGAAAAGTGGGGGGGCACTGAGCCCCCACACATTGTGTGACTCTGTTCCTGGCTCTAAACAATAAGCAGCACAGAAGCTGCTTCCTCTGGGACCCTTCAGCCTTGTCCCCTTACAGCTCTGTGAACCTGAGCAAGGCCAGGGATGCCATTAACAGTGTCCCCTGGAAAAATTAGAAGCAAGCTCTCACATCCAGCTAAAGAAGTCAAGCACTGAGGCTTGTCAGGAATTTGAGAGCAAGACAGAAATAACTGAGGTCACAACTGACTTCAGGTCTGATGGAGTGAGTTCCAGCTCCCCCCACCTCTGCACGTCGCTCCAGCATCCCTTTGTCCCTCTCCAGGTGGCCCCCACTGCTGACGAGAGATGGTGGATTTCCCAGTCTCCCTGGACTCCTTGAAGCCAGCATCTCTGACCAGAAGTCTAGTCTTCCTCATGCACCTCCTCCTCCTTCAGCCTGGGGAGCCGAACTCAGGTATTGTGTCTGATCTGTAGCCCAGCCAGCCAGGACATGAACGCCACCCCTCCTGCCAGGTGCTCCCCAGGGATAAGATCTTAGAACAGTACCAGGGCGTGCCAGATGCTGAAATACAAAAAGGACTTCAATCCTGGTTGTTAAAGAAACACTACCCCTGGGCATTATCCAGCCTGCAGTGTTCCTCCACGATCTCTCCAGCTCCCACCGCCTCTTGCACACTTCCCAGCACTCCAAAATCCACAGGCATAGCAGGGAGCCGAGCAAGAGGGTGCCAGGAAACTCATTGGCCTGTGTTTATGCTGAACCCATTGATACATGTTTTTAACTTTACCCCTTGCGAAGCTTCTCTCATGAAAGATGTAACCAACAGAGGGTGTAAACTAATAATTCAAACGTGATTTCCTAATTTCCTGGGCTGGAAACCAGGAATACTGGGGTGACCGCAGCATAGCCCAGGTCTTCAGCAGTCTGTAGTCAAGGGAGGGGTGTGGATGTGGCATAAATGGCTGTCCATTTATGTGACCATGGCTGAGAGAGAGAGAGAGAGAGAGGGAGGGAGGGAGGGAGGGAGAGAGAGAGATATTTGTGTCCAAAGACTTTGGGAGCACAGCTAAGAGTAATGATTTGTTCCCGGAAAGCTGAGGAGAGCCATAGAGAGGGAATATAGTTTGAGCAGAGGCTTGCAGGATGCACATTCTCCAGGAAGATGACAGGTAGGGGATAAGCTGAGGCAGGGTGTGCCCAGGGAAACAGCCAGACATCGGTGTGTGGAGGGACAGCCGGAGAGAACCTGGAGAGGGAAACTTGTCGGAAGGGTATTGGATATTCACCCAGCCGCCAATGAGGGGCCTCAAATAGTGTGAACAAAGGAAGGTCCCTCCATTTCCTGTGGGCCAAGTGCGGGACAGGGGGGTCCATGACAGGACAGCTTCAGGATGCTTTCAGCTGAACTTGGAAAGAAAGGAGAGGAGAGGTACAGAGGCCAGAGAGAAGAGTGAGTGCCTGTGGGGCGGCAGGGATCCGTGCATGCGGAAGACCCGCGCAGGAGCAGCGACTCTCATGGGAACTGCAGACAACAGACCAGGCCAAAGGGAGCAGAGAGGCCCCATGAAGAAGCCTTCAAAGAGGAGGGTGATCAAATGAAAGAGCCCAACAAATAAGTCTCAACAGAAGGATTTGGTTGACCTTTTGATAAGAAAACCTGTGGAGCAGGGAACCCTCGTAGATGATTTTTGATAACCCTTTGTAGAACCTGTACATGTGAATTATTTTTTAAACTCGGAAAATCAGACAAGCAAAAATAAGAAAATATCTATTCTCATCATGCAGAAGTTACCACCATCAGCAATTTGGTGTCTCCTTTCAGATATTTTTCTCTGCACATTTATGCAAATACATATGTTTTTTACTTAAGATAATGTTGTACAGATTATTTTGAAACTTGCTTTTTTGATCAAAGATTCCATTTCACTTCATGCTTTGGTCATATTTACATAATTGTCCCCAAAATAACATTTGTACCTGGTTGGATGAAACCAGTTACCAGCTCAGCACCACAAATCTGGTTGTGATGTCACCTGTGTGTTTAATTGTGCACTCACGTTTTTTCGTAAAAATTACTTGTTCAAGGATCCGGGCCAGTTGTCCTGCAGAGGATCTTACCTTTCTTGTTTGCATGGCTTGCTGTAGATTCCTCAGTTATAAAGGGGTGTGATAACTTTTTTTTAATTGGATGAGGGTTGCTTTTGCCTGTTCTGACTTGTCATCCTAGAGGTCAAGGTGCTAGGCCCTGAGTATACCGTCCTGGCCCTCGTCGGGGAGGAGGTGGAGTTTCCGTGCCACCTATGGCCACAGCTGGATGCCCAGCACATGGAGATCCGCTGGTTCCGGAACCACACCTCAGACGTGGTGCACCTGTACCAGGAGCAGCAGGAGCTCCCTGGCAGGCAGATGGAGGCGTTCCGGAACAGGACCAAGTTTGTCAAGGACTACATCGCCTACGGCAGTGTGATCCTGCAGCTTCACAGCATCGTCCCCTCCGACGAGGGCACATATGGCTGCCGCTTCCTCTCCAACAACTTCTCTGGCGAAGCTCTCTGGAAACTGGAGGTAGCAGGTGCGTGGACTGACCTAACGCCCTGCAGGGGAGAGGGAGATACAAGTACTTTGCCTGAGTAGAGGTAGAGTCACAGAGAATGGAAGAATGTTGGTAATTTTTAAAAAACATAAAAGCTGATGGATAGGTCCATTCGCAAATGAACAAACAAAACAAACAGTTCACCAAAACATACACAAACAGCCCTTAAACATATGAAAAGGCTGGGCACAGTGGCTCAAGCCTTAAGCTCAGGCTTAATCTCAGCACTTTGGGAGACTGAGGCAAGCAGGTCACTGAAGCCCCAGAGTTCGAGACCAGCCTGGGCAACAAAGGGAGACCCCATCTCTTAGCCAGGTGTGGTGGTGCGTGCCTGTAGTCCCAGCTACTCAGGGGGGCCAGGTGAAGGAATCTGGCTGCAGTGAGCTTCACTTGCCACTGCACTCCAGCCTGGGCGACAACTCTGTCTCAAAAAATATATATATATATGATATCATATATGTATTTATATATAATATATCGTATTATATATTATATAATATTTATAAATTATAAAATTTATAAATATATAAAATATAAAAATGTTATATGTTATATATAATACATTATGAGTAACAAAGTTACTCGTAGGGAGAGAAAGGCAAATCAAAGCTACGTCAAAATGCAATTTATTTTTAACTGTCAGACTAGCAAAATTTCAAAAGCTCTTCCACGTGCTGTTGATGGAGCTATGGAGAAGCAAGCTCTCTTGTACCATGTTAGTGGAATTCAAAGTTGGAAAGTCCAGGACAGGAGAATTTGGTAATACTTAAGAGGACTAGCTGTGTGTCTACCCTCTGACACAGCGATCCCACCTCCAGGAACTTACGCCACCTCCGACACCTCCAATATGAAAAAGCATATGTATGAGTTTAATCTTTGTAAAGCTTTTTAAAAACAATTGCAAAATAGTGGAAACCACCTAAATGTCCAAGCATAAAAGCTGAGTATCCTCTATCCACCCAGTGGAGCAATCTATATTATGTATTATGCGTCTGAAACAATGATGAGGTGGTCTCTGAATGGATGCAGAGTGATTTCTAGTATTGTTAAGAGAGAAAATGCAAGGTTCAATAATACATAGTTGCATGCGTAAGAAAGAAGGAGAAACATTGCAAAAAGGAACATAGGAAGGATAAACAAGAAATTAATGAAATTGGTTACCTAGGGTGAGGTGTGATGACATGGAAAGGATGGAGTTTTTTTCCTGATATACATTTCTATACAGCATTGTCATTTAAACCACATTAATGTTTTGCATACTCAAAATATAATGCTAGTTCCACAAGGATGGAGAGATAAAGGAGTGTGTATGACGCAGTGGAGCTGGAGCTCTGGAGGGATTCAAGAAAAAGAGAAGAGTCACAACTCGAATGTATTAGAATTTAGGGTGGTGCTGTTCTTCATTCTAGGAAACTGGCCCTTACCTGATATGATTAAATGCCAGGAGCCCTTCCCCACCCAATGACCCCCTCACATTTCCAAATGTCCCTGAGGGGTATTATTGTCTCCATATGCTACCACTGATTTAGAGTCATTTCCAGCATTTCCAAATGTCCCTCAGGGGTATCACTGTCCCCACATGCAACCACTGATTTAGAGTCATTTCCAGCA